CATGAAAATCGGGTTTAGAATTACTGAATTTCCTGCTACTACTAAAAATAACTGATAAAGAATGGATGCAGAGAATAATACCCTGTGATGATAGAAAGCCTATAGTGCTGCTCATGCAGATACACTCAAACACAAGCACACACACGTGTACACACCTACACCCCCACACACTGATGCTCAAGCCAAACTCTCTGGCATTAGAGCTCCTTCTCCTTTCCCCATCCCTTCCCCTTTGCATCTCATTCCTTAAAATGCTCCTCAAGCACTGTGTCTTTTGAGTCTTCTGTTTGCTCTATTGCCTCCTCTCCATGCTCCCTCCTACCTGTGGCTCTCTCCATCCTCGTCAGCATTCTACCCCCAAGGACCACTTTCGATAGGAACAGCCTTCATATTTAGTGATCCTGGCTCACAGTGACTCTCTGATAGATTCCCTAAAATAGGGTTGGGTCTTATATCTCCCCACATTCCTGGCATCTAGAAAGTATATTCTTATCACATAGCTAGAGATTTACAATTGTTTTGGAGAGAGAGAAAAAAAGGAGTTCAACGTGAAACAGACATAAGAAGCTTTCAGAGTTCACTTACAAAAGAACCCCTTTGGCTAAGATTCATGCCAGACTTTGAAGGGTGGTCTGAAGTGGATTTGCATGGTAGAATCCACCTCCTACTCTACCTTCACCCTACCTGCCTCTCATTATACCTCTATTTACCAGGTAACTCAATAGCTATGGTCTCATTTTTTTTTCAGCTCTTCCTCTACCACCTGGCATGTAGACACACATCAAGATTGCACATGATTTTCTCATGTAACATTTTCTCCAGAGGTAGCTTTGCTCTGAATGCAATATATTTTAAGTCTCTGGATTTATCCCCAAATCAGGATCTCAGACACCAGCTCTTATCTGAGCACATTTCACCCTCATCCCCAGGCATTTTTCATTGCTTGGGGATCATCTCCACAAGTGCACCCCTCCAGTATCCAAGATCTAGCTGCTCAAAACAAGTGCCATGGTGGCTTCTTAAGACCTACTGTATAGTCCCCGTCTGCTCCTCCCTATTCTGCTGCTATTTCTTCCTGCATTGACTGGTGTATCACTATGCTTTAAAATCACTCTGGGCTTGAAAACCTAGCAATGCATAATTACTCTCTTTCCTCCAAATCCCATCCCTTTCTCAGGACCTGTCTTTCAAGTCCCATTAGAAGCTCTCCTACAACATCAGATCTAAAAGAGAAAGTGGATGTTCTTCTCATAATCCACAGAGGAGCTTCTTCTATGGTCATTTGTATACTCATGTTGTCCACCGTGGGGGGTTACGGAGGGGCCAAGCTGCTGTTGCCTTCAGCCTTCTCTGACACCTATGTTTCCCCTCCATGCTGCTGAGTCACATCTCCTAGACTCCCTCTCTGATCCTCCCACCCCCAAGAGTCCATCTGCCCTTCTACCCTTCTAGATGGTGGCTCCAATGCAGTTGCATTTGGAAAGCCTCCTGCCATGAGTGACACCTGCCGCAGAAAACCTGTCAAAGCACCACCCAAAAGAAGCTTGTGGGGTGCTACTGCCACCTAGTGGTAATATCTTTTTCTTTAACATCGTAACTTGAACTCACGACAAGAATGATTGAATAAGCTGAGTAAGGAGGACAGAGGGGTCAGTGATTGTTGTGACGTATTGAGTGTGGCTGTAATTAAATGTTGATATCACTGTGACACGAGAAAATAATTTTGTTGTAAAAGGCAGCATAGAGTGCCTCTCAAAGAGTGAATAATATCATGTTTTGGTTATGAGTATAGTGAGGCATAGCAAAGAAAGACCTAAACTACCTGGCATGTGCAGTTTATGGGAATTTGAGGGGAAGAGGAAAAAATGGAGACAAAAGAAAGGAATAAGGGGATGCTGAGCAGAACAGCAACAGGGTAAAGGTTGAAGAGAAATGTCAGCCAGCAAGAAATGAATAATGATGGGGTGGCCAAAGAACTCACAACAGGGATTTCTAATATTCCATTTTATACAGTTTGGTCTGGGCTTCTGAGATAAATTGCCACCACCCATTATATCTATATATTTATTAAAGCTTGATGCAGATAGTATTGAGTGAATTAATACACTCATTGGGCTAGTGTGGAAATGAGAGGACAGAACAGAGATAAATTAGAAGTAAATTTTCTCCTTTTTTCAGTTTTGGGGGGTTTTTAATTTTTTAAATATTTTTTTCAGAAGTGAAATTTTGAAGAGAAATCAGATGAAAATGTGGCCACAAGAACTCAGGTGCCTTGGATGAGGAGAAGATAATATTGCAGACAGAAGGTATCTTACAAGCTAAGGTATATAAGGAGCATCTTATATAGAAGGTGGCATATAGAGAGCATTTAAAACAGATAAAATAACTTAAAAAGAGCAAAGGGAAGTCCTGAAGGATGGAGGGTAGGTCAGCACCAGTGATCAATGCTAAGGATGTGGATCTGTAATCTAAAACGATGACAATGTGCTATAATTGTTATATGGCAAGGTGACATGTTTCAGTTTTTCTTTTATAATATATCACTTTAGGAACTTGTGTGGATAAGAGATGAGGGAGCAATAATGCGGCACAAATGTACATATAGAGAGATAGACCATAGATAATAGATAGAGATAGATAGATAGATCAATCGATAGATAGATAGATAGATAATCATGAGCTCTTCTGTTGATAAACAAGTTTGAGACCCCCAAGGTGCAGTTTCCATTGTGCCTGAAATTAGTTTTAACCCAAACATAACTCCCACACACATTTTAAATCAAACACTGCTAACTTTGATTTCTTCGATGATATATTGGTCAAGAAAGGAACCAGCAAGGGAGGGGATGATCCATGGTATTAAAGGCTGCCGAGAGGACAGGGGAAGAAAAGGCTAGAAAAGACTCATTCCTGGAATGGCTGAGAAGTCTGGCAGAATTTTCACACACAGAGAAGAGTGTGTGTGAGAGAGAAGGAAATTTCAGGGGGACATTAGAAAGCAAAAAGCAAAGACGTGGAAAATGAAGAGCAGAAGACAGGGAGGGTGTCAAGATTAAGAGACACTTTTTGTGTTTGGTGGGTGGGATGTGTTTTGTGGTGCTGGGGACTGAACCCAGGACCTCACATGTGCTAGGCAAGTGCTCCACCACTGAGCCACACCCCAGCTTCTCCCAAGGGAAAATTCTTTTGGAGAAGATGGTAGGGCAGAGGAAGAGTGGAAGTATATGACTCTATTCATGAAAGATAAAGACAAATATTCAAGTTTAGCACTGTAGTAGTAAGTAGTATTTAAAAGCATAGTCCCCCATTTTATCTGGTGGATTGTTGTTGTTGTTGTTGTTGTTTTATTATTTGGTACCAGAGATTGAACTCAGTGGCACTCAACCACTGAGCAACATCCCCTGTCCTTTTTTCTATTTTATTTAGAGACAGGATCTCACTGAGTTGCTTAGCTGGCTTTGAACTCACGATCCTCCTGCCTCAGCCTCCTGAGCTGCTAGAATTACAGGCATGTGCCACAGCACTCAGCCATTTTAACTGTTTTTGACCTATTTTCATTTACTCTGGGTTCCCTTGGGGACGAAGGTCCCTTTCTGAAGCCTTTCCCCACTTTCATCTTTTAATAATTTCTTCTTTTTCAGCATTTACCAAAAGGGCTACTTATCAGCCCTGGGAATGCAGTGGCAGTAAAGGTGAGAAACAGAAGCTGCACGTTGAGCTCTTCCAAAGAAAAGCACTTTAGAAATCAAAGCTATTGCTAAATTGTTAGGATTCTCTCCTTCCCCTGAAAGCTTGGCGTGACATTATCTCTGATTCTCAGAAAGAAGTCTTTCGATTCAGTCATTATACTAATAATCTGTGACTCTAAAAATAGGATTGAATATCTAAATTGATCAGCAAAGCCCAATAATCTCTTTTTCCTCATTCTAATGTTATGGATGTAAACCAGGAACCAAAAATAGGAGCGTTGTAAGTCATTTCATCTTTCATATAAATCGCATCCAGCAATGCATAAATTGGGAGAGCTTAGAGCTAAGCACTGACATTTTTGTGCAAACAGAGATCCACAAACTCAACAGGCATTGAAGCATGAGAGGCTAACTCATGAATAATCCTTGCATACTTTTACAGTTATATAACCAGTTGCCTATTATAGTGATAATTTACATTAATATTGGGAGAATGAATAGAGGACAAAAATAAGAAGTTATTTTGGAAATAAGTAATAAATATTTCTAAGGAAAAGTGCCAGCGATTGTCTATCAAGACAAAATTGGATGGATCTTATAAGACTTAAAAAAAAAATTTGTCACTAGCAGAACACTTAGTTCACATTTTCCCACTTGGGTAGCTCCATGAAAGATGTCACCCATAGAGAAATGTCTAATAATAGTCTGAGGGGAAGGGACATTTTAAACTAAAAATATAATCTATACTTAGTAGTTCATATAACTAGAAGTCAACTTCAGTTGGACCAGTTTAAAAAGAAAATATTTTAACTGATTCCAAACTGCAACTGCTTAACATGTTCAGTAATTTGATTTAGTGTTCTATGTATTACATTCTATATGAAAGACAGACACAATGATAAGAATATCAGAGATGGTTCAGGAAGCCACCAGCATTGAGGGGAGAACATAAAAGAAACTCTCACTGTCTCTGAAGGAGCCAACCCTGCTGACACCTTGATCTTGGACTTCTAGCCTCCAGATATCTGAGGAAATCTATTTTTGTTGTTTAAGCCACCTAGTGTGTGGCCCTTTTTTATGATGACCCTAGCCAACCACTACAGCCACCTATTTACTCCTAATAACATGTCAGCTTTTCTACCCTGGGGCACCTGTAGTCCTGACTTCACTTGGCACATGCTCATTCAGAGCTCGGAGTCCACAAAATTGCCTTCAAATTTATTCCAAAGCATCCATAATTATATGTTATCAGTGTTTGACATATTCTTCAACCCAGCACCATAGCAGTGACATCTAACAGTGTGCCCTTACCTTTTGTTGGCTTCTATGCTTGGGGTGGCACTATAACCAGGAGGGGGTGGCGGAAACCAGGACTGTCTGTGAAAAAATGATATCAGTTATAAACATGGTGCTTGAAGGCTGAGCCTACCCCCGTGTCTGTCAGAAAAAGCTTAAAATAATTCGATGGTTAAAAAGGCCATGGAATTACTTTTTACAGAAGGCCTTGGAAATAAAACGAACACTGTTTCATAAATAAAATAAGAAGTGGCTGTCTATATTCCAGGCTATCTGCTCCCCCAAGTAAACTCCTTTTCCCATTTCCTTTGACACTGAACAATGTGGACGTGTCTTGCAAAAGAAATCTGAAGAGACTGGAAAAGAACAGCAATTATCAAATGCAGATAGTAGGTTCATGGGTGTTTATTTTGCTATTCCCCTATTTTTTTTCCTAGCTGAACGATTTCATAATAGAATAACAGTCTTATAGTCTACTTAAATTATGATTTCTTTTAAAAAGTATGATAAAAAAAAACTTGGACAAGAATATTGAAAACATGAAAGAATACCAGAGCAATGCTAACATTATCTTAGTTAGAAAGATGTCCTCACATTATAAGGAAGTAATTTTAATTAGTAGCAATAGCTAAGGTCTCTGTCAAAAACACTAAGATAAGGACCAGAAATGAAGATATACAGAGAGTGATATGGATGAGAGAAGAAAAGCCCAAGATAAAAGGAACAGACTGAGCTGGATTTATTCTTTAAGTAAGTCCAGGACTAAGACCAGGTGGGAGTCAAGCAAGACAGATTTCAGCTCCATGCAGGGGATCGATGCCCCCTAAAGAGCAGTCAGTGGTGCTTCACAAAACAGTGAGAGTCTCTTTGCTGGCTTCAGTGGTCCTGAATCAAATCTAATCTGTTGGAGGAAAGATACTTGCCCTGGATATAACATTGAACAAACCCATCTTAAGTTTCTCTTAATACCTTATAAATCTGTTTTTTAACAGACCAAGGGTGGAGTGGGTATGAAGTTTGGGTTCAGGTAAAAGATGGATCATATTTTCTGAGATTCTGCAGATACAACCAGAACTCTGTGACTACAGGGAAGATAAAGACAGTTATCTCTCCCTACAGTGGCACCATGGCAAACCCAGCTAGTCCTTCAACAAACATGGAACATCTATCCTACACCAAGCAGGGTCCTGGGTGCAGGCACAGCAAAGAAAACAGAAAAATTTTAAAGCACTGATGCTTTCTATTTGCATCACGATTCCCTGGCACTGTTCATTTCAACATGCAAAAATCTCTTCCACCTTCATGCTCTGTCTCATGTAGAATATTCTGTCATCACAGATCTCTCTTCTCCATGCCTAGCAGACAACACAGAATGCACCCCAAACAGCATGTTAAAGGCCACTCAGGGGAAGCCAAGCAGGAGGCAAAAATCACAAAGAGATGTCTCCCAAGAGGGTCTTTGACTCTGTACTTAGAAGGAAAATCAGCCAAGTCTACAGAGAGGTGGGGGTGGCTACAGGTGCGGGCTGGTTTCAGGAGGACAACATGGAGTGGCTCTATGTCAATCATTATTTCAGGTTAAGGTACTCCCTGTAGTCAAACTTTATAAAATATGGTACCTGAAGTAGCCAACCCTGTGACTTCTGAGGTCAAGGCCCCAAGGGAATGGAGTATTATTTGAAGAGATTAGGGAGGGCAACTAAAGTTTGAGAATGGCAGAATGGAGATGCAGAACCCTAGAAGGAGGGGAGAGAACACGGAAGAGCCTTCCCAATACTGGTTGGGAACCCGGGAGGTAGATTTGGTTCCAAAATTAATGAAAAAAGAGATGGAGAGGTAGAGTGGAGGGATGGGTAAGGAGGCAATGCAGGATGATTTTTTAAAAAAATCTTGTTATGTGCATATGTAAATATACCTCAGGGAATTTCACCTTTATGCATAAGTAAAAAGATCCAATCAAATATAAATAAATAGATAAATGAAAGGAAGTCTAACCAAGTAGAGGAAGGAGACTGGGGAAGGGGAGGTAGGACAGGAAGGCAAAGGGGAAAACCATGAACTGGAATCGAATCCCATGCATGTATGAGTTTGTCAGGATGAACCCAACTACTATGAATAACTATAAAGCTCTACTTTAGAAAATAAAGTGGATTAACAACAAAAAGAAAATTGATGAAGAACAGTCCTTTGCAAGGAGGCAGACACAGAGCCCTTCATACCTCTTTTTCTTCACAGGAGTAGTAGCGGGGGTAGAAGATGAGGTGTAGGTCCTGCTTGCACTCAGTAAACCACCATGTGGCCTTTGGAACAACCAGAATGACAAATCATTACATTCCTCAAACCTGTTCTTTCTTCCCACCTTTGAAATGTCTGTTAATCTACTCATATTCCAGCTCACTCTCTATCCTCTACATAATGCTTCAATTGAAGATGGATAATTTTTAAATTTTCTTCCTTATGGGGGCTGGGGATATGGCTCAGGTGGTAGAGTGCTTGCCTCACATGCACAAGGCCCTGGGTTCAATCCCCAGCTCTGACCAAAAAATAAAAAGAAAAAAATGTTATTCCTTACTTTATCTATATGATCAGTTATCAGAATATCATATAACTAGTTAAAAACTGAAGATTCTGAATGAAGAAGTAATTTACATATGGTATTAATTGTCTAAAAGTCAGGCCGATCGATTTTTTTTTTCTTGGCAGCGCTGGGGATTGAACCCAGGGCCTTATACATTCAAGGCAGGCACTCTACCAACTAAACTACAACCCCAGCCCCTCAGGCCAATCAACTGTAGCATGCTATGGACTCATTTTTTTTAAAATCTCATGATTACATTGTGACTAACAGAATTATACTGCAATTTTACATTAAAAGTCTTGGTTTGTTTAAGAAAAAATTTAAGTCATATCATTTTAAATCTTCAGCTAGCATTTTAATATATGCAGACCCTCAAAAAATGGAAATTACTCAGGCTTGTGTCAAGTACTGAGAAGTACTGTCCAACATGAAAATTAGTTTGTATATAAATACACATTTAAAAACTAAGTTTAACTGTCTACCTAATTTGAATTACTTATAACAACTAGTAATACATGACAGGGAAAATGTATTTTATGTAAGTGGATTTTAGGCAGGCCCATGATTTCAGGCTCAATTTGCTCCGAAGGAGGAGTTGTAGATGTGAGGGGGTTTAGGGATGACAGGGAGGTTCAGGGGAGGAAAGAGTTGGGTGCCATAGGAATGGGGGGATAAAATAGTTCTATGGGGGAGGAGTCTAGATCTTTTGAAAAAGACAAAGACATAGCCTAAACTTTGGTGTTTGGTTAGCATGATGGTCAACAAACTTGTTCAGTAAAAGTCCAGCCAGTAAATATATGAATGTGGACCATTTTGGTATCTGTGTTCCACCACTACCTCTGCCAAAGCCACAGGGTTGTGGCTGTATTCCAATGACACTTTGGCCTGGGGCTGGGATGCTATATCCTGGGTTTTTCTTGAACTAAAATAATACTTTGATTAGAAAAATACATACTAGTTGGGGAATGTAGCACAGTGTAGTGGTAGAGCATTTGCCTAACATATATGAGGCCCTGGGTTCCATCTCTAGTGCGCGCGCGCGCGCGCGCGCGCACACACACACACACACACACACACACAAGAGGAAAGAGAAAAGTACATACAATGTGTTTGTTCCTGATGATCTAAATGTAGACAAGCTTCTGATAAAAGAGAAAAAAAAAACACAGTGAAAAATTAATTAATATTTGCATCTATTGGTAATTGTCCACAAATTTAGAGTAATTACAATGAAAAATTAGATATTATTTCATAGAAATTAAAAGAAAGCATCAGCATTGGAATAAATTTGATAAAGTGATTTTATCATTTAAAAAAAATCTGTTGTACTAGATTTCAAAGGAAAATTCCCGCCCCCCTTTGGAAAATTCAGTATTGGTTAAATCCAATGTTCTTAATATGTTGGGTTCAGTGATTTTTTTCTTTAGTATAAGAATGCAAAATTTGCTTTTGCATGTATTTCATCCCTGTCACCAAGACACCTTAAACAGTAACATCCATGTGGTAAGATCGATGGCCTGTAGCAATAAGCCTTGATTTTTTAAGCCAGGCAACATTTTATTCTAGTTAAGAACAGGAGAAAAGTTTTTTACTCCAGAAATTCTGTGTTAAAAATACAGAGAATAAGAATTTACAGAAAGACATTAAAGTAAGATTGAAGAACTTAGGTAAGTGAGAAAAAAGGTTGCACTCAAGACTTTCCCAAAGTTAGTGGACACTGGTACCTATTGGTTAGTTGGTTATCCAAGGTATTGGCCTTATATGTTTTAGCAGCATCATCTCTGTCTGAAATCCTTTATAAAGAAACAACACAAAAGTCTAGATAAACATTCAGGTTATTAAGTTCCATTCAGACCTCTTTGATGTTAGAGTGACTTTACAACATAATCTTTCTCTTGTGAAGAACAATTTTTCAGTTGTTACATTTTAGAAATTTTTACAGTAAAAAAGCAAAAAGCTACTCATGACAAAATCTACTTATGAGGCTATTTAGAATTTTTAAAGTATGATGCCTTTTGCACATTTTCTTTTCGGACTCATTAAGCATTTAACTCATTAATTATTTTTATTTTCTTTGCTATTTAATAATATATCTAGTTAATAAAAATACTTCTTATGTCAGTAAAAGGCATCAATGAAATACTTAAGTATTTTTTAAAATCATTTTGAGGCATAGAAAATACTCTGTTTGCCAGACTCATTTTCTTTACCTCCTGAATGCACAGGAGGACCACATTTACCAACTTCAATTGCAATTAAGTTGGAGCCACTAGTGTGGACACAAATATTATTTGCCACCTCCAAACCCATCATAAAATCTCCTGCATAATTTTTTATGCTAATTCTTTCCCTTTCAAAGCCATGGTACCAAAGCCATGATATCCATAGGTTGAAGATGGCAGCATTAAAACACTGTAGGAATTGAAAGAATTCAATGAAAGAAGTCCAGAAGTCACTGCATGGATTCAGCAAAGCCCATCAGACTCTGGTGAGTCAAATGATACCTTCTATTGTGTTAAACCACCTATATTTGGGGATGGGGGGCTTGTTAAAATAGTTACTCTATCTTGACAAGATAATTACTTTGACCAATATATCAGAGGTTTTAACTCCTATAATCTTAGGTCTCCTTAAAGACCTTCTTAGATCTGGAAAAGGTATATTTGTCTACCCCTTGGGTGAGGAAGCACAAATCTGGAATCTCTGACTACAGACTCTGTTCCATCCTTGCCTGCCTCATGTCAGATAGGAACATTCCTTCTAGGACCCAGGGCTGAGTTCTGGAACATTCTGCAGATCTGCAGAAACTAGGATATAGCAAAGTGAGGTTCAGAAAAATGAAAGGTCAGCAAGATTCTTCCATTTATCCTACATTCTGGGCCTACTATAACTCTCCAAAATCTTTTGTTCTTATTATCCACTCTAGGACAAGACTTTATATAAAATATTCCTGCTAAAATGGATAATGATTTCGCCTCTCTCTAAAAGAAAAGGTCATGTGGGAAAAATACAACTTCATTGTCATAAGCTAAAGATAATATCAATTTATTTTGACATACCTAACTAAATTTTGGGGCAATTACTCTAATATATTAAACTTCTGAGTCCACCTGAACACAGTGTCTGTTTGGGATACATAACACCACAAGCTGATAACTCTTGAATGCAAAAAGGAAAGATGAATAACTAGCTGTAACACTCCAAAGCACCACAGTCTCCACAGACTGTTAATAATACAGTCAGTAACTTGTACAGAATCCTAGAATCAGGTACAAAAACTCATGTCTTAGGTGATCTTCGAGCCTAAGTCAGGGACCATTCCCTGCACTAATTGAAGACTCTGAACTTCTGAGAGATTTAGATTTCAAGTGCTTTGCAGTAAATCACCATGCATACCACAAGTGAGAGGTCAGGTGATCAGAATTCTTAGAGGTTCCATGGGAACGAACCTCTACTCAGACTTTGCAGCTGTCTCTGTGATCCCAATAAAAGTTAAAAAAAATAATCTCAGGAAATTGCTACACGGAAAACAATAATCTGCTGAAAGTGAATGGAACCTTAATATTAAATGTTCTCAAGGTGAATTCTGATGTTAAAATTAAATGAACTTAATGCAAATTCCACATGTAAATCTGTGTGGGTTAATCCTACATGTCATCATAAAAATAACTACCTACTCTCTGCTGACCTTTTCATAAATTTTTTCTGCTCTTCAGAGAATAGAATTATCCCTGCAAAGTAGGGGTGATTATTTTCATTTTATAGATGAAGAAACAGGGTCTCAGAGAAGTTGGGTGACTTTTTCTTGGCCATACGACCAGGAAGCAGTCTGTCTCCAAACTCTTCTCACTGGAGCCCAGTATTGCACATCTCATTCAGACAGGATGACTGTCCCTAAAACTCATATAAGATTACCACATCTCCATTATTCTTCATTTATCACAGTCTCTTCCATGCCACTAGGGGGAGAAGTGATCAAGAGTAATGGAGGGAGGTGGATTGTGGCTCAGTAGCAGAGCGCTTGCCTCGCACACGTGAGGCACTGGATTTGATCATCAGCATCATATAAAAATAACTAAACAAAATAAAGATATTGTGTCCATCTATAATTTTAAAAAAAGAGTAATGAAGAGACCTCTCAAGTACCATTCTAACATATGTCAATTTCTTATTGCTGAGAGAGATTAACTTTGTATTTCTTCTGGAAATTGATCTTTTGCCAACTTGTGGTATGAAATAGGTTATTTTAATAGGAATGGGTCTGGGAGACAGAAAATAAACAATAGAATTAGCAATATGATCAAGAGCTTAAAAAAATCCTCCACAAAGGAACACTAGGGGGCTCCATAACCTTGGGTTTCCAAATTAGTCATTAAATCACCTTCAGGATTTGGACAATATCTTAGTGCTACATCCACTATTATATACTTATGTTTCTTTAGCATATTCCATATATGTACCCATACATATGCATATTTAAAGAAATATGTATCATATATGCAATATATGCCAATTTAAAAGGAAATTCTTGGAAGTCTAAACTCAATACTTTTTGTATTCATTAAAATTAATAATCATTAATAAAATGCACATGCACACATACTGCATATATATGATCAAATTCCTCCTGAAATATTTCACATCTTGCATTTTGGAGCGGGCTGCATGATGTAAGTCTCACTTCTGCTAACAGAACTTGTCTTTCTTTATTGACCCTGTGTTCTCTTCCTCCTATTTCCATACTTATTGCCTTAGAAATAAGCTAACCAGGATACTTCTTCCAAATGTGTTACTAAATCTTTGGGTAATTAAATTATCACATAATCTCTAGTGCCATTTGCTAGCATATAAAATGAAGAGTCTGGACTACACTGGTGTTTCTGAATCTTGGTTGCACATTAGAATCAGTTGGAAATGAATCAGGTTAATTAAAAGAATTTGGGGGAATGAGGGCAGTAAGACCAAGTAAAGTTTAAAAGTTCCCTTGGTGTTGCTAATTTGCTGCCAAGGCCCAGAATGATTCAATTAGTTTGCCTGGGAGATCTAATTCATTGCTCAAATCCCTGTCTTTACTCACAAAGTTGAGGTCTGGATCTTGACCTGAACTTTCTGATACGAAGACTACAAAAGCATGGATCTTCTACGTATCTACCTTTACTGAGGCTTAATCACCACATTTAAAAAATTCATTCCTAGAAACACAGTTTCCTGCTTCAATTAACTGGGCAATAGGACAATCCAAAAGGCCAGGGTGAATAAACAAAAGTATTTTCTCTACCTCTTCTCTGTAAACTGGTTTGCAGATGAAATCTTGAACATATACTTTTATGAGGTTATTTTTGATGAGTCTAATAATTAAAAGAAGAGAGAGGCCAACTCTTTAGGATACCAGTGATGATATTAGGAGTCCTCTATTAGGAGGACTGACTTAAAAGTCTATGAATAATATAAAAATATATACATTTGCTGTATTAATATGGACTGGCATAGTCTGAATTCCAAGTACTAGATGCTGTAAGTTTCAGTATATCTGTTTAAAACCCTGGACATGTCTTTTTTTCTGCAATGGTAGCACATCTTTAGCTACAGGGAGTGAGCTCAACTGTCACCAGCCTCAGGTGTACATTATGCCTAACTCCTGTTAAAGATGCTAAAGTTGGCCTTCACTTCTGCTTGTTAAGCATCTCTACCAACTTCAAATGAAAAATATGACTTGTGGAATTTACACTTCAACCTGGTTAGAAGTTTCTTAATGTCCTATATAGGACCAGCCTTTCTTTTCTATGTAAGAGGGAACGAACAATGTAATGGTCTCATTCTATAAGCCATATGGTGACTCTGGAAAGAGTTAATGTCTGTCATAGAGTGGATCAAAACTACTGTAGTTTTAAAACTGACATCTCTCTAGCAGGATGGAAGAACCCAACATAGGAACAAGGACTATTTGTATTTATAGAAATAACTGTTCTTTATTTTAAATTGAATTAACAGATGCCTTATCTTGCCCACCCCACTTATACTCAAGTCAGACTCTCTCAGAATCTTTCAGAAGAATCTACTATTTCCTAAAATCTAGGGTCTCAGGAAACAATATATCTAGGCAAGATTTTGTGAGTTTTGGAGAAGATAATTTAATCCTTAGAGCCCTGTCTCCCTGAAGATAAAACATCAAATGTTCAAAGCTTACTTTGGCAAACATTGTAATATCTCACAGATTTCTAAGAAGTGGGATTTATTATGTTAACAAGTATTAAATGTAAAGCACGTGTAAATGTTTTCCCCTCACATGATTCAAAAGTACCTTACCTGTCCAAAGTGTCATCGGATCTGTACCGACTAATTGTGGCTTTTGGCCCATCTCTCTCATTTATTTTCCTGTAACAGAAATAATTACCAAATAAATTAGATAAATTACCAAAAAAAGAGCATATAAAACCTGTCATACTTTTGGCAATAGTTTTACCTACTTGGGTAGGAAAAGTACAGGTTGTCAAAGGAAAGGCCGATTTGGAGTACCCAAATCTTCCAGGCTTTGGCTTGGATAGAATAATAATAATAAAAGGTTCTCTTGTGGCTCCAATTATTTTTAACTACAGTGTAACATAATCAAGTTGTGGACAAGGATATGTACAACAAACAACAAAACATGCAGAATGGTTAATAACTAATATGAACTCTTGTCAAGTTGTCAATCTCTGCATAATAGGAAATCAACTCCTTTATAGTCAGCTGTGTTTTGTTTGCAGGGTTCTAACAGTGCTCTATGCCCACACAATGGGCTAACTCCTAAATTGCTGTATTTAACATTCAGCACCGTGGACAGAGTTGAAAGAGGATAACTCACTGGCAGCTGGAAAGGAGAGATGGGGAAGAAGGAAAAGAAGGAAACATGCAGGGCCAAAAAGAAAAAAAAAATAGAAGAAAGTGAGAGATGAGAGAAAGGAGAGAAGAGAAGAGTTATGCGGAGGAGAGGAGGCAAGAAGAGAAAAAGACACACAAGCAGGAAAAAGTGGGGAAGGAAGACAAGAAAATAGAGGCAGAGAGGACTGCAGCCTTAACAATAGGAATCATTGTTTTCAGAGGAAAGCACTGAAAATATTTTGATCTAATTGATCAAACAGAAAGAAAGTCTGTTTACTGCCTTATCTAGCCTGTGATGCAGGGAAAGCAAGCTCTTTGAGGAATTATGCCGTGATTTATTGCATTTACATTTCAAATCATCATTTGAAGCCGATAGATCAAAGATATGGAGTCAGAATAAGTACTAAGACTGGTTTAGCACATCAATGTAATTCAAAATAGAAAGTAAACACAGAAAGCACAAGGCTCCTGTTCTCCCAAAACACACTGTATATATACTGAGAATAGGAAACTTAGTTTTCACTGTCACATTCCAAGTGTCATATTCTTTCATAATTATAGAGAAACTTAATAAAATGGAGGGAGCAATTTCCACTGGTGGCCAACCTCCCTGTGTCTGGTGAGATGAGGGTCAACTGAGAACCAGGCTGACATCTTCAATATGAGGAAGCCTAATGAGAAGGCACAGGTAGAGACTCTGCCAGACCATAGAAGGGTAAATCAGATGGCACCAGGAAAGCAAAATGACTACTTTGAATAGAGAGTTGTAAGTTGTGCACCTTTAGGAAAGGTCAAAATTATGAAAAGGTTAAAAATAGTTGAGAGAAATTCACAGATAAAAAGTTTTGAAAACAGATTCAAGGTGTCTACTTCACTTTCTACAGTCCACACTCTTTACTAAGTACCTCTCAGTTACAAGCAAACACAAGTTACTAGACCAGATGAAACTTGATTCTGATATATATTTGGCTTCTTCTGATAGGTGTGGTTGTTTATATGTGTGTGGGTACAAATGTGTTTTAATGAGAATATTATCTTTCTTGATCAATCTAAGACTATTTACATCAATCATTATAATTACTAATTTTGTCTGAATTTTCTCACTTGCCATCAAGGATAGATCAGTGTTTTCCACAAGCCTAGGAGTTTCCAAAAAGAAATGGACTATCTCTCTGGAAATGTTATTTCTGAATTTTAGGATTCCTTTCTCTAAAGCTCAGAGATAGCTCATCTGGTTATGTTTCTATTTCCATGATAGACCTTTCCCTGCCCATGAGAAGGACCATCCTAGTGGCATGAGCTGTGGCTGATTATGTTTCAGCTCTAAGCCTTAGTTCTGGGAGCTGGGTAAGCAGGTCCCCACCCATACCCCTGATGATATCCCAGATTCTCCTTCACATGCCTGGAACACTGGGGACAGCCTGAGGCCAGCCACAGTTATTCGGCTGACTTGAGCAAGTCTCATCTCAGAGCCACCATCTTTGTGTTTCTGCTAATAACATACCTTATCAAAACACCTACCTGTCCAAGGCATCATGGGAGTTGTGTCGGTTGAGCACCACCCTGCCATAGTTTTCATCTCTGCAGAGAAAGACCAAAATGATGTCACTTCACAAGTTACCGCCATGTTTGCTAAGCACAAAACAAGAGAGATGGGGAGAGCTCACAAATCTTGGCAAGGTTAATCCATTTTACTTTAGGCATAAGAACACAACTATGAAACCAGTCACTGCTTGCAGGACCATCGTGAAAAGAAACAAGTTGTCAGTACAAATGATCATTTATCTCATGAGACTTCCACATGATTCAACAAGGAACAACTGTTTTGTTGTTGTTGTTATTATTATTTTTTTAATCCGAGTATGGAAACACGAGCCCACCTACGTTGTATATATTAGAAGAGTCCTTTTCCGTAGGATGGCAAATACAAAAGATTTCTACCAATGTTGTTTAAATTTAATTAACCCCTTTATGTCTGGATAATTGATGGACTTGACAATTTCCTTGACAAAGTGTAGGAAAACATGTTGCTAAGGAGACTGAGCATTCATAGGAGATTTAGCCCATCTTGAACCATGAGCCCATATTGCCCTCTTTGGTCCTTAAAATAACCCTCTGAATTAGTCAGGGAAGACACTGTCCTTTCCAATTCACTGAAGAGTAAACTGATCAGGGATTTTGTAGCTTTCCTAAAAATCACAAGATTAGCAAAGTGACAAGGTGGGTCTAGGACCCAGATCTTTTCATTCCAAACCTTTGTTTTTTCTTCTGGTCAGCTCTGCAAGGAACCTTTATACATAAAATCCAAAAGCCATGTCATTATACTTTACTCAGTGCATTTGAATGTATGGGCAATTTTAGGAAATGTCAAAACATGTAGTGGAGCTCTTGGAGTGGAGCCAAAGCAGAGAGTAAGTACCTGAACCTCTTTCATGTCAACCCAACCAAACAGGAAACACTACATTTTTCCTGATTCGGCTCCACTGACATTACTCAACACTCTGGAACCATTTTTAATAATGCTATAAGAGAACTGTAGTAGACAATTAAAAAGAAAGATGAGCATTGAAACTGAAACAATCCTAGCAAATATATACCCTCATAGGTCCCAAGGGGGACGTTTCTATCTTTCTTCGTATCCCTTTCCAAAACCAGTCAGAGCGTAGCAGACACCAGGCGTGTTCTTACCTGAAAAAGAATCACAGCCCAGGACTGGGCCAGTAGCAGCCAGGGAGGCACTAGGGCCAAATTCCCCTTCACTCAGCAGCTGCCATCCCATTCCCAGCTGGCTTCCTTAGGCCTTTTTAGGGAGGTTTGACTGGCACAAAACCAACATTCCTACCAACTGTGGTTTATCTTAGACATCTCTGTCTTCATCCATCTGTGTAAATATTTGCAATCCAAAATTTATTATCTACACTTGACATCACACTACCACTACAGAAAAATAGAAATGCCATATTAAGCTCTGACAGAAGCAATAGGTGCTGCTTTGTGGAAGGGAATAATTGTTGTCCAAGAGTATTAACTCCAAAGTGAATCTGTCTCCACAAGCCCCTATATGTCCTCAAAACAATAAAATTCAGTAACAATAATCAGTAGGTATTTTAATGTAACAGTTACAAATATGATCCTCAGATAAACATATTTGGACAGTTTGTAGAAGGTTTAGATTACATATCATATAATGCTGTTTTTTTCAGATTCAGGGCTACTGACATTTGGGGTTTGACAATGATGTTATTGTGGAAGCTGTCCTGTGCATTGTAGGATCTTTAGCAACCTTCTTGGCCTCTACTCACCCCAATTGGGGTGTGAAGAACACACCCCAATTTTGACAATGAAAAGTATCTCCTAACATAGCCCAATGTCTCCAGGGGGTAAAATCACCCCTGTTTGAGAAACACAGGTATAATGAAAAGACAATGGGTCACGTTAAGATCTCCACTCTGCCACTTAATGATGATGCCCGATCAGACAAATTATGGGGCTTCTTCTCACTAGAGATTTCTCTCCTATAAAATGAGTATATAATATCTACCTTGAGAGATTGTTGTGAGATTCAGTGATACTTAATATGTCAATTATCCAGTATGAAGCTTAACACATAAGGAAATGATAAGATGTGTACATGTGTATGGGTAATTTATAATGTGCCACTAATTTATAAAAAAAGATCTGGGATGGATGCATATCTATTATAAATCTGTGTTGGCAACGAGGCTGTATGCCTATGATCATAGTTTCCAGATCTTTGGCAGAAGCAATGTTTAAAGCAGATGAAACTTTGCAGGTGGCAAGTGTTTTCTCTTATAAAATAAAGCCACATTTTCCATCCATCCAATATCTAGAAGTAGGATCCAATATCTAAGAAGTGGGGCAGATAGGACTAAAATAATTGGGGATTTATTAATTAATTTCAATTGTACACATAGAAAATTGCAATACATTATTATTGGATTTGGAATAATGCTACCATGTGTTTGTTTCCACCGGCACGACCAACACACATGAGGAATCTCATGATGATGGATTAACTGTTAGCTTTTTGGAAACCGGAAACTCCTGTTTTCTTTTGTTCACCAAGGAAACACCAAAATCTATTCCAGGTGACAATCATACTCTCTCTGAGGAGTGTCTCACATTCTCTTATGTGTAAGTGTATTAAAAATGAAGGAAATATTCTTGAAAATCTGGTACCACCGATTTATGTTTCCTAAATCTCACCCAAAATTAGAACCATGTGTTTTAAAGAAAACTTGCTTTCCAGATGACCCCTTAGTCCCAAACAGAGAACACCTCTTTCCGCTCATCCATCCACCCACCCACCCACTCCTACATCCCTACACTTACTTTTCTTCTTCTAGACGTTTCTTTATCCAGCTGCTGTCCTGTAAGAAAGTCCTTCTTTTGTTCATCTCGTGAAAACCCTGCTGCCTCGGTGTGGTCCCCCGAGTGGTGCTCTTCACATCTATCAGTGGAAACATGAAAAATTAGGTGACAGAGTGATGCTGAGTATTGGTTTGTTTACTCTGAAAATCTCAAGAAGTCCATGTAATCAGCCAGTACTGTTTCAAAGCAGGACGCACCAGCAAGAAAGAACAAATCCCACACCCCATCATCAAAGATAACATATAAATCTGCTCAGGTGCCAAGCGAAACTGCCAGAGTGGCTCACGAGGCCTCATCCAGCGCCTGGGAATGTAGAACCACCAGCCTGCAATAAACTAAGCCAGGGCTTAGTGGGTTGGGTTTTGACCCAACAAGAAATACGTCTCGGAAGTACACCCAGGACTGTTTTTATAGGACCCAGTAAATTAAAATCAATAAGTCCTGGCGCATTTGATTACATGTAATTTGATTATTTGAACTTCTGGGAACCAGAAGAAATGTCACCCTCAAAGAAGGACTTTTTTTTTTAAGAATCTTTAAATTACAATTATATGATGAAAAACTATAGCACCTGTTCTTTTTTTATATGTATATATTTTTAGTTGTATATATACAAATATAAATATACATTTTTATATGTATATATTTTTATTATGATGGACATAATACCTTTATTTTATTTATTTATTTTTATGTGGTGCTGAGGATCGAATCCAGTGCCTCACATGTGCTAGGCAAGTGCTCTTATCATTGAGCTACAGCCTCAGCCCCTTCTTGCTTGTTCTTAAGCTTAAATTAAGCAAAGCTGATTCGACTGCTACTTCCAAGCATTGAATACCTATATTTAAAACTATGAGTTGTTTTTCCTAGATTTTAGAGGTTTTGTTGAGCAAAGGAATCATTGTCTAAATTACCATTTCCTGTGGGTGACTTTTTTCTCATGGGAAAATCAGACATGCTGCCTTCCAGTAAGGATCTAAAAGAAAAATGGGAATGTGAGAAAGCACAGCAATGACATTAATAATCTGTAACTGAGTATTTCATTACTAAGGCATATTTTTCAATGACATTGACAAAGCTATATGATATAGTACAATCCATATACTACATAAAGTACCCTGTAAGGACCTGAGAATTCATCTATTCCAATTAATTTATTTTAGAAATAGAGAAAATGAGGCCCGGGATGTTTAGTGTCCCCAATATTGTATGACAAGCAGTTGGTTGAATCATCTTCAGTTTCTGAGAGCTGAATGGTCTTAGTGGAGTTGGAAGGATCTGCATTTAAATGGTCCTATTTTCTGACTGTGTCACCTTGGGAATGTTATTAGCTCAGTCCCTCATCTAAACAATGAAGTGAAATAGAACTATTATGAGGACCAAGTGGAGACATATGTAAAGTACCTAGTTATTGCCCAGTACACAGTAGGTGCTCAATAATTCTTAACTGCATGCCTCTCTCACCTTGGAAAGCAGAAAGCAAAAATGTGAGAGAGAGGGTTGGGAGTGGGAAGGCAAGGAACAGACTTGAACTTGGGCATATGGACATGTAAGGGGTGTGGGGTGGCCCTGGCTGGGTTTGGAGGTTGATTAGACTTTGGCAGGAAGGGGAGGTAAAGAGGCAGCTGAAGACAAACATGCCTTAACTATTGGTTAATTTTGCCTCAGTCTGAGTCTGCTTCTTGACCCACCTGTTTCCAGCTGTTAATGGGCTCTGATAAATTCTATTCCTCTTAGCTGATGAAGACCTAGAACATTCTCAGAGGTTTGAACTAGAATTCTGAGGCAACCAAAATGTCAACTGTATATTGGATGATAAATTTGCAGAGACTGCAAATCTAATCGTGGGACAGGGGCCAGGGTATTTGGAGAAAAAGCATTTTACAATTACCCCTTATTTGTCTGTCTCTCCTGAGAGATCAGGTTTTCAGTGGGCAGGGTCTAAGTCTCTTTTGTTCCCAGTGTCTGACAATGGAATAGCATCCTCCAAAATTCATGTATCAAAATCTAAAACCTTAAAATGTGATTGTATTTGGAAATAGTGTCTTTAAAGAAGTAAGTTAGAATGAGGCCCTTGGGGTGGACACTAATGCAATCTGACTGATGACTTTATAAGAATAATAATTTGGACACAGAAAGAGACATCAGAGAAAAGGTCAGGTGAGGGCCCAGCAAGAACCAGCCATCTGAAACCCCAGGGAAAAAAATCTCGGTGGAACCAAACCTACTGGCAACTTGATCTTGGATTTATAGGCTCCAGAACTGTTAGACAAATTTCTGTTGTTTGAGTCGTCCAGTCAATGTGTGGTATTTTGTTACGGCAGCTCTTGCAAACTGATACAGTCCTTATGGAAATGTGATTTAAACATTTCTGAAGTAGCAAAATTGCTCATAGAGCTCTGTGCTATACTGTCCCTTTCCTTTGTTTCTTCAGTTGCCCTATTCACAAGGCAATTATTAATAGCATAAATATCTGTTTGTTGAGTTCCTGCTTTGAATAAGGCCCCTCACAGGCATCGGCTCTCATTTTCACATGAACTCTGTGACCTCACTATTATGACCTCCAACTCCCAAACAAAACATCTGAAGGTCAGGGACAGTATGTAACTTGCTCAAGGTGCTAAAAGGCAGTTAGGTTTCTAAACCAAAGCCAACCCTTATCTCAGCAAGCAGCAATAGTGCTCATCATGAGTCACTTCAAGACTAAATGGGTACCCAGGTATTAGAGGGATGATAAACATCAGGGTCCTGCCTGACCTTTGATATCTCACTCCTTGGAAGTGCTATAAACTTTGACCCTGATGCATGGCACCAGGAGACCCAGGGTAGTCACTAAAGGAATCACTGCAGCAGAAAGATTCTCAACGAACAACTTTCTTTGTATTTTACCTTGATTATAAATATTTCCACACAAAAACTTGTACATGAATAATGACAGCAGTATTATTAGCAGTGGCCCCAAAGTGGAAATAATCCAAATGCCTATCAAGTGATGAATGAATACAAAATTTGGTATAACCACACAATAGAACATTACTCAGCAATAAAAAAGGAATGTAGTACTGACTTCAATGAAGCTTGAAACATTAGGCTAAATGAAAGATACCAGACACAGAAGATGGCATGTCATATGATTCTATTTTTATGAAGTATACAGAATAGTCACATTCATACAAAGAAAGTAGGTTGGTGTTTGTTGGAGGTTAGTGGAAGGGGTTAGTTAACGGTAGGTTTCCTTGGGGGGTAAAAATGTAGAGCAAACAGTTTGGGGGATGCAGGAGAGGAGGGAAAGAGGAGGCACTGAGGAATGAGACTGATCAAATTATATTTTATGCATGTATGAATATGGCATAATGAATCCCACTATGATCTTTAATTATAATGCACAATTAAAAATTAATGAAATTTTTTTCTGGAATTAATGATGTTGGTTCTATAACCTTGTGAATAAATTTTTTATAACACTGAATTTTATACACTGAACGGTGAATTTTGTAATATAAAAAAAGAACAAAAAGAAAAACTGACAGCAGGCGTGGATCATGTCTTAAAACCATGTAACTATTGGGTAGTACATTTTCAATTATTTTAGTTGTGTATGTTACTTAAAAATAGATATTGAAAAAAAATAGATATTGTATATGGATTTGTATAAGTTATAGCACATATGTACTAGTTAAAATAGTTAGCATACATGCATTTAGTAAATGCATATTATGTATAAATATTTTATTTATAAAAATGAATATACAACATAAAAATCTGCCCCTAGAGCTATAAACTTAAAACTCATTTTATTGAAAAGGTAATTATACTCATTGAGACACACAAACTCACCTTAAGTACACTGTGTTCTTCTGTTCATGCTATTTGTGCTAACTTCCCTGAACAATGCCCTTTGAAGATGGAAGTTGCCTTGTCTTCTTGTAGAGGGGTAAAGATGCTGACTGCATCTTACACAGACTTCACATATCTCAATGCCAACACCCTCTTCTTCCCCTTTGATCCTATCTTTAGCTTCCCTTTATGCCCCAGAACTTTCCATCTCCCTCACACCCTTAGTATTTATCCGATGTTCATTTTCTTGAAATTCCTTCTGACTTCCAGCCAGTCTGAGGTAAAATATGCCTGGACAGGGAATGACGTGTCATTTGGGGAGGTAACATGTTAAGGTGTTAGTGGTGAGGGCGGAGGTGGGGGAATGATGACCTTCAGCCAGACAGCTTCCAGCCTGGCCACTCATCAGCTACGTGAACCCATTCTTCCTTTCTGCCTCTACAATGTAGGGGGTTATGTTAACCTTAAAAGATTGTTATGGGGCTGGGGTTGTGGCTCAGCAGTGGAGTGATTGCCTAGTACGAGTGAGGAAGTGGGTTCAATACTCAACACCACATAAAAATAAAAAAAAGATATTGTGTCCACCTACAACTAAAGAAAAAAAAAGATTATTATGGAAGCTAAATGAGATAATGTTTTGTAGATTATAAATCACTATAAAACCATCTAAACCATTATGACTATCTTAACTTTCCTTCTTCCCTAGCAGAGCTTAAGGGGCAGCAGAAGATTGGGTTACGGGGAGGATTGAGGTGGGATATGAGTAAGGGACCAAGGAAAATCCCAAGAACAATATCCACATGGGGTTTTGGGCAGAGTGATGCACACCATAGAAGAGGCAACACGACAAACCCTGGAGTGTCCCGGAGAAAGAAAGTGGGCTTGCTGGACACTACTCATGGAGAACAACCCAGAACTTCTGGGGTGGAGCCGATGATTATTGAATACCTGTGGATAGTCACTAGCAGAGAGAAATAGGATAACGGCATAAGCTTGTTCAGATGTTTCCCCTCTCTCTCTCTCTCTCTCTCTCTCTCTCTCTCTCTCTCTCTCTCTCTCTCTTTTCTTTTTCTCATTTAACCAGACCATCTTGAGATTACCTAGCTACTAAAGGCATGAGAATATCAGAACTTCTAGCAGGATGTTGGATCTGACTGAAGCCAGCCCTGAATATAAAATGAAGAGGCAATTCTTGCTGTTCTCCATTCATCTCTCTGTTAAAAGTGCTGACAATCGGGGAGTCCATCAGGGTCTTACCCATCCAAGCATGGTACCCTAATCATGGCTGCAAACATCTAGATGGGCAGGGGATGGAGGCATGGATGGAGGGCAGAAACACTGAGTTAGTGCAAAAAGTCTGCTTGAAAATCCTTCTGGGTATACAAGCATTATTATTAGTGGAATGAAAATTACTAAATCAAGGATACCTTTTTGTCAACTAGTAAGTTACTTATATTTAGTCTCATATGTGGGACCTCATAATTTATTTTATTTTTAAAAGAAATTTTCCACTCAACAAGGTTAATAATCATAACTCTGGATTTTAAAGTCATGATTGTTATGTTTAGAACGTCTCCAGAATGTATGCTTCCTTCTTCTAAATTACAAATGTTACCTTAAAAAAAATTGCCTTGAAATTTCGGAGACTATTAGAGGATCCGTGTTCAAATAGTAGACAGCAAGGACAGGCCCAGGCACAGGTGAAGAAGTTTTCAAGCAAGTTTTCAGGCGCCTGATATCCAGTCTCCCCTTCTTTACCCACAGATGAAATGGCATTTCTCAGCCTCACTTGAAGCTGTAAACAGTGTTACAGCTCTGGCTCTTAAGGCTGAAGAACATGTCCCTGGGAAGAACCTGGCCTTTTGTACATCATGACTCCTCTTGTCTGAACTAAGATGTGGAGCTGAAGGCGGAAGTGGCTATCTTGGACCGTATGAATCACGGAAGACCATACACGGTCACACACTAAGAAGGACAGAGCCGAGAGTCAAAAGGAGCCCAGTTCCTTGACAATCTCATAAAACTGCCACATTTGCCTTGCATAATCTATCTTTGGACTTCTCCTTCCAAGAGAAAGGTAAACCTCCTAATGTTTTCAATAGATGGCTTTTCCATTTTTTATTACTCAAACCTAAAAGTTTTCCTACATGATACTAAGCCATGGTGGAGCAAAGAGAAGAGGTAAATGCTGATGAGGTCTACAAAAGATATTTGTGTTTCTTGTATTAGTAAAGCCTTATCTATTACTAAATGCCTACAAGATCGATGTTCCTAACAAGAAGAATCACTTACTGAGTCCCTACCATGTACCCTTCACAGTGCCACATGCTTCATGCACATGATCTTATTTAATTCTTCCAAATGAGTACTATTATCTCTAATTACAGGAGCCCAAAACTTAAATAACCTGCACAAATCACACAGTAAGTGGCAAACCCAGGAATTGTAATTAAGTCTATATGACTATAATGCCAGGGCTCTGTTCAGTAAGTGATCTTACATGTAACTTAAAGTGTCATGTGGTAGGCTAATACCAGGCATAAAGAAATGTCTTGATGTACTAAAAGATGGGGCATAATGGAGGAGCAGCAGTAATGACGACTCCTACTTCCCCTGATGGCTCAGCCTGAACCCCCTGCTGCCACTCTAAAGCTAGGGGTGGTCTGACACTGTGACCACACTCCTTCCTGGAGGGATCTATTTCCCACTGGATAGCTAGATAATGTTTCCTGTTCATTCCCAGACCTGTGCCATTCCTTGACATAAACTAAATGAGAAATAAAATATAATTGTATGCTATTTGTCCACTACTTTAAAAATTTGCCTTCTTTTCATTTTCTCACCTCCTTTATGGCCTTTCTCGATTTCCTTTAGTGTTTTTCCTCTCTTTCCTTTTTTCCCTTTCCTTTTCTTTGCAGTGCTGGGGATCAAACTCAGCCCTCACACATGCTTGGGAAATGCTTGACCAGGGAGGAGCAACACCTCCCACCCCCAGCCCAGTATTTTCTTCCTTTTTTTTTTTTTGTTACCTGGGATTGAACTCAGGGGCACTCTACCACAAAGCCACATCCCAAGCCCTATTTTGTAATTTATTTAGAGACAGGATCTCACTGAGTTGCTTAGCGCCTTGCTTTTGCTGAGGCTGGCTTTGAACTCACAATCCTCCTTCCTCAGCCTCCTGAGCCACTGGGATTACAGGCATGGGTCCAGACCGCCTAGTGTTTTCTATTTTTAATCAAGGCACTTCCCAATGAGTTACTTCAGGTAACTCACTCCTCCCCAAGACCAGTTCCAGCCCCTCTCCTGTTCCAACACCAAGAATTCTAAGGGTCCCAGCTTAGCTACCATTCTCTTCATTGTTTGGGTCCTCTCAAAAGAAAGATTTTTTTTTTTTTTTTTTTTTTTTTTTAGCTCTCACTCTTCCCTTCATACCCAAGGACAAAATGCCACTTGGCTTACCTAAAAATATCTTTACTTCTTCCTGCAAACTTTCTCTTTAAATAGATTGCTGAGAGCAAAGAAACTGGAATGGGTGGAGAGGGGCCCATAAAGAAGAGAACACAGAAAAAGCAAAGAGGAATAGAGAAAACCTGGAGCACGAATAGATGAACAGAGGATAAGGGAAGGTGAGAAAAAATGATAAAAGAAACTCAACTCCGACTGCTGATATCTTGTGTCTTGGGGTAATTCGGAGATATATATATGCATATATATATATATATATATATATACACATTATACATATATAGAAAACACTTATGTGTATTATTATTTATATATAATTTCATTTAAGCTTCATATAACACTTTCAGGTTATTGTTATTATTATCCTTGTTGCAAACCTAAATAAAACCTTAAGACAAATTATTGCAACGAAGTTAGGGACATTTTATAGGAAGTTAGGACTAGAGTTAGTCAAGTGGGCAGTGGGAAAAACTAGTTTTTTAAAATATTTTTCTAGATAGGAATCTCAGGCTGAGTAGTTTGCCTGAGGCTACATAACTACTGAATTGCACAGTTGAGATTCAAATTGAAATCAGACTGACACCAAAGTACCTGTCTCAGAAGCCTGGGAAACAAAAGGGCACCAACAGGTGGAAAGTTACTGGGCTAAAATAAATGGTGAAAAGAAGAACAGCCCCTTTGCAGGACAGCACTGTGATGAAGCTAGACCCAGAGAGGATTTTCTTTGATGGTCTTATGAAAGCATCATGAGATCAGCATAGAATGAGCATACCCAATGTCTGTGTGCTCCAAATTTTATGACAATTGTATCTTTCCCTTCTCCAAAATCTTCCCATCAATTTATCAAGATTTTAAGACATTTATGGCAATTGTTATCTTTATGGAAAGAAATGTGAGTAGTTGCTTAGGGCAAATGTCCACAGTAATGCAAAGTAGAATGAGGAAAGAAATAGAGCAAACATGTCCATTACCCTCATTTTACAAGGGGTAAATGGGCCTAGTGGAATTCATCTTCATGTATGAAAAGATCCTGAGCTCTTATTTCCCAGAAATCACTGAAACAGGGGAAATGCCTTGGAAGTGGAAAAGGACATATGCTACAAAACCATTTTCAATAGAAGAATAAGGAGGACCTGATAATTATAGACCAATAAACAGAAGCACTATCATTTAGAAGACAAAACAAATCATCCAACAACTAGTTATCCCCTAAAGGACATGAAATATTATGTAAGGTGAAAACAAACCAGGTTTCATAAAGTATAAATGTGTTTCATAAAATATAAATGTTAATAAGTCCCCTTAAGTTAAATTTTAAATGGGCCCACCAGACCCAAACGACTATGTTTAGACTGAGTACAAAGCAATAGAAGGAAATCCAAAAATCTACCAGGCAGGCAAAGATTTGTTTATCCTGCTGCTATGGTTAGAAATGGATTATTTCTTTCCTCACGTAGCCTCACAGCCTATGTTTGGGAATCTTACTTAGTTTATAGTGAAATAATACAGAATACAGCACAAGTGAAATCTTTTTGCTACCCAATGTCTGTATGCTCCAAATTTTCTTGAGTCTTTATAACCCCCTTCCACCACAAATTTTTCTCTCCGTTGATTCTTGGTTTTAATATATGGCCCTTAGCTGTTCTACAGAATAACCCCAATGTTCTGTTAGAATAGTATCCTACTCTCTGGGACAATTATCAATTTAATTTTACAAAAGACACTGTCTATTATTCATGAATAAAAATGCAATCCAATATAAATTACCTATCACTTGAGTTCCATCATGGGCTATTTCCCGTTTCAGGAGATTTAAAATTAAGTTTATCTGGAGTCCAGTCCCCTGTGCTTTCTATACCTAGATGCCTTCTAAACTCATACACAATTAGCTCCCTGATGACAAAAGGGAAAAGGCAGGGCCATAGGGATTGTTTTCTCTAGAACCTTTTGATGAAAATTAGCTCTCCATTCAGAGAAGTACCTTGCTTACTGTGAGTTTTGTGCACTTTCTAGATCACTGCCATAACCTCCTATAACATGCGCACCCCTGGTTGAAAAGTACTATCTAGAGTTCACTGTCTTCCCCAAGAGGTTCCACATAAAGGAGACTTACTAACATTTTAGAGTTGAGGAAATTTGGATCTAGAGACAAAGAATAAATCATTTAGATTCTTAGAGGTCTCAAGTGTACAATTACAATGAACATTTAGGATTATTGGTTTTTGTGTCTAGAAGTAAGGCAGTTGGTGTTTAACAGATAGCTATAAAATTCACTCTTCCAATTAATGATCATAATGAAAGGATGATTCAAATCCTTAAAAAGTTTAGCAACTTACATAAAATGCAAGTCTAATAAATGAAGCTTTCATTTGGCAAAGCCTGCATCTAAGGAATATCATTTTCCAAATCCTAAAATCACATGGATTTGTGCATCAGTAAACTAGAAACACTGAATACCTGTATAGAGGCACAGTAATTAACTCATGAAAACTTTATTTCAAACTTCTCAGGAAGAAAAAATGGAGAAAGATCAATAACTGGGGCTGGAGTTGTGGCTCAGTGGTAGAGCACTTGCCTAGCATGTGTGATGCCCTAGGTTCGATTCTCAGCACCACATACAAATAAATAAATAAATAAAATTCATCAACCACTCATAAAAATATTTTTTTAAAAAAGATCAATAAATGGCCTAGAAGCAGGATAATGTCAAAAGAGAAGCTTGTGGAACCAAAAGAGATTTCTCTTTGACTGCTGGACCAAGGATTCTATCACCTCACACCTAAGAATGCTCAGAGGTAATGCCTCAATCATAACAGATGCTAGCAGTGAAGTAATTAATGTTTTCTCAGGTTGACTGCTTGGTGAATTATAGCAGTTCATTCCATGGTATGACTTCAGTCATTTAAAACGTACCCTCTTCATTTTGTTTACAAAGTCCCCAGTAATATGAATCCTCAGGTATTTCAGTCAACATCCTGAAAGTTAGAGAGGGCAGCCAGGTAAACAATGGTAGCTAAGGTGAAGATGTTCCCAAGTTGCATATCCCACACCTACACACAACTTCCAGACTGTCTTCTGACCCAGAGGCCATTGGACATACTAAATAAAAAGACTAACTCCACAAGCTAAGTGAGAAATGTATCCTATGACCATACCATACATACGGTAATAACATTTTCACATAGTGCTGGGTAAGGAAATTCTTTTTTCCAAATCATTTGTAGTCCTTTTATAAAAGATGGAGTATAGCTCATTTATTGCTACTACATATTTTATATGGAAGATATTTGAAAAATTATTGAGAAAATCCCATTAAGACAAAAGATGATCTAGCTTCACATTCTGATTCTGATACTCTGAGACTGGCAAGTTTATGCTTTGCTTCCCTCATCTAGAAAATTTAGGAGTTAGACTGGATGAATCTCTGCCCAGTTCCAATTTAAAAGATTATGTCAATTAAATCTTAAGATTAATATGCAACTGAAATTTCAATAGGAATAATGATCTGAGCCAGGTGCAGTGAGGTACACCTGCAATCCCAGCCACTTGGGAAGCTGAGGCAGGAGGATTGCAAGTTCAAAGCCAGACTCAGCAACTTAGGGAGGCCTTATGCAACATAGCTAGACCCTTTCTCAAAATAAAACATAAAAATGTCTGGAGGTTAAATCCTCAGTACCAAAAAACAAACAACAACAACAACAAAAAGATTTCTGATA